TCTATTGGCGGAATATCGTCTAACGGCATCTAAAATATAAAAGAGAGGACATTGTTACTTTCGTAATAAAAAGTGAAGGGGGATTTGTATATCTATCTACATATTAGAGGGCTGCATGAATTCATACAAACTTCTAGCCAAACAGAGTACAGTAGATTTGAATATTTTACTTCACATACAAAACACTCAGCGTTTGGAATTTTGTAAGTTACGAATATGCATTTTGTCTTAAATTATTACCTTCAAATGGAAGAATCTGAATGAATGAATGGAAAACATTCAAATCGTTCAAACTCATTTCGATTAAGGTTTTTTTTTACCTACCTGTTATTAGCTCGGGATGTAACTATGTAATATTGATGCGCCTAAAAGATGCAGCGATTTCTATTCTCAAGTTACATACCTGATGACAGTACGAATGGCAATTATAATAGGGAGGTTTTAGTTTTTTGAACTATAATTTATATTATTGCAAACAAATTTGTTCGTATTGTATTTACTACACCTTTAGGGCAATATGAGTTTTTGAGAATGCCGTTCGGATTGAAAAATGCGCCGGCAACATTCCAAAAGTTTATTAATAAAATTTTTTCAGAGATGATTCGCAAGGGCGAGGTTATAGTTTATCTCGACGATATCATGATAGCAACGGAGAGCATCAAAGAACATATCGAAATATTAGAAAAAGTATTATTAAAAATTGTACAGAATAACTTACAGCTGCGTTTAGATAAGTGTGAGTTTTTGCAGTCGAAGGTGTCATATTTAGGCTATGTTATTACTGGTGAAGGTATACAGGCGGACGAGAAGGGGCTGAACGCAATAGAAAACTTTGCCGTTCCGACTAAAGTCGTCGAAGTTCAAAGCTTTTTAGGCTTATGCTCATATTTCCGAAGATTTATTAAGGATTTTTCGACTATAGCCAAGCCCCTCCACGACCTTACGAAAAAAGACACAAAATTTCAGTTTGGCAAAGTAGAGTTAGAATCTTTCAACAGTCTTAAAACAAAATTGAAGGCGTCACCGCTGTTGGCAATCTATGACCCAAATGACGCAACAGAGTTACACTGACGCAAGTGCTTTAGGGTTTGGGGCGATATTACTGCAAAAGAAGAAAGACGGGAAGCTACACCCAGTGTTTTATTTTTCAAAACGTACAACGGACACCGAATCTAAATACCACAGTTTCGAGTTAGAAACTCTAGCGATTGTCTACGCATTAAAAAGATTTAGAATATATTTGCAAGGCATAAAGTTCAAGATTATAACCGACTGCAACTCGCTGACCTTGACGCTTAATAAGAAAGACATGAGCCCAAGAATAGCGAGGTGGGCATTGGAACTGCAAAACTACGATTATGAACTTGAACATAGAGCCGGTAAAAGAATGCAACACGTAGATGCACTAAGTAGAATAAATAATATACTGGTAGTTTACACGAATACTATTGAAGAAAATCTCATCATATGCCAAAGTAGAGACGAGAAAGTAGGGAAAATAAAAAAGGAGTTAGAAATTAGCGAGAACAGTCACTATGAAATGAGAAACGGAATAGTATACAGGAAGGGTAGAAATCTACTTTTTTATGTACCAGAGTCCATGGAAAACCACGTTTTGTATAAGTACCACGACGAAATGGGGCATTTAGGTGTAGAGAAAGTTGTGGAATCCATAGGAAAGAGCTATTGGTTCCCAAGTGTCAGAAAGAAAGCAGTTGCCCACATAGAGAACTGCCTAAAATGTATAGCATTTTCCAGTAAAAGTGGTAGAAAAGAGGGACTTCTGCACATGATACCGAAGGGAAACAAACCGTTCGAAATGATACACGTTGACCACTACGGACCGATCCATAGCAAGTCTACAAAGTATAAGCACATTTTAGTAATAATAGATGCCTTCACGAAATTCGTCCGCCTCTACCCCGCGAAAACGACAGCGTCAAAAGAAGCAGTTGTAGCCTTAAAGGACAGAGGGACAAGCTTTACTTCGAACGAATTTGAGGAATTTTTAGTAAACAACAACGTTGAGCACATCAAAGTTGCGACAAGTTCACCCCAGGCAAACGGCCAAGCCGAGATCGTTAACAAAAGCTTAGGCCCGATGATTGCAAAGATGGTAGATTCCGAGAAAGAGATAGGGTGGGACAAAGTGTTAGAATCAGTAGAGCATGCGATGAACAACACGGTGCACAAAGCAACAAAGGAGCAACCTAGTGTATTACTGTATATACAGGAGATTCTATATGTCAGGACGGCCGAGTTGTAGGACCGTAGGCACGTACGCGTGTGTGAATAGGGCTTTAGGTATACACATGTGCTTGTGATTAGACCATAAGTAGGCTAAGTAACTAGACCTTAAGACTAGTTGTATTTTAGCGAGTAAGACCCGTTTTTTGTAAAATGCTATGCACCATTTTCAAGAACAATAAAGAAGACATTCGATTTTGGACACCGAGACCGACG